TTTTGGTTTCTTTAGTCATTTAAAGGGAAATTTCACCCCAAAATCAATAATGCACATTGTACCTGTAGTGCTAGTTATTAAGAGTTGGAGGTTTTTTTTCAAATTACAAACTACACCTGTCTGGTGGTATGGTTGCTTGGTTGTACTCCAGTAGAAATAAAAAAGTAGTTCCTAATTGAAACTTCCCACAACAAGGTCCCTTAAACCTTTGTCCATCCAAGTGTGCGTTGAGTAACAAAATGATCTTAATAAAAGATGTATGAATGTTCTCTCTGTTTATCTTCCCAGGTGCTGACCGCCTCAGACAGCTTTCAGAGAACACCACCTACTTCCGCAGAAGACTCTGCGAAATGGGCTTCATCATCTACGGCAACGACGACTCGCCTGTAGTCCCCTTGATGCTTTACATGCCTGCCAAAATAGGGTATGGGATTCTCTTCAGTTTCATATTATTTGGTATATTTTCCATGCTTCACACAAAAAGGTGGCTATTCTGGCTAATATTTCCAATTAGTTCACATTTGGAAAAGACATAATGGTTTAATTTGAATGACTTTCCGTGCTGTTGTCCCTTTTCTAAATAGAATCTGACTCAATGTGTGGAAAACTGTTTATGATTTAAGATGTGGGAATGGCGGCGGTGGGTCACGTCATAAGTTGGATTTGCCTAATGTTGTCGTTGCTTCTCAGGGCGTTTGGTCGGGAGATGTTGAAGAGAAACATTGGCACGGTGGTCGTCGGATTCCCAGCGACACCCATCATCGAGTCGAGGGCGCGCTTCTGCCTTTCTGCCGCCCATACCAGAGAAATGCTAGACACAGTGAGTCCTTAAATAACACTTGCCCAAACAAAAAACATAGAGAAACGATTCGAAAAGACAAAATGGTGCAATTCTTCTACGAACATTTGAGATTTATTTAGCGAGAATTTACCGTAGTGCACTTTTGGCCCATTTTAAAAAAACAAATAAAGAAATATCTGGCTAGATCTAGATCTTTGGTGGAGGACAGTCTGAAACCTTGACAGTCTTACAGTATAGCTATTGACAGGCTTTAGAAAATCCAAAGTCATGCAAAAATGAAGTTTAATTTATTTTATAACAATTTAATTTGCAGCAGAAACTTCCAATAGATATACCCATAGATTATATCTTTTTTTTATGACTACAATGGTCTGTGGCTGATCATGGGTCATATAATCGGCAGTTCTTTTTACATTTTCTTGCATTTTTCCACTTATTACAGAGGCTTTTTCTCAGATGTGTTGCCATTAAAGGGGCCTCATTTCATCTAAAATGGTGCAGAAAGTTTCCACTTGCCGTTTGGAACAAAACAACTTCATAATTAGCTTGAAAATAACTTTAAAATGGCTATTAGCACGTCAGCATTATCTGCCAAATTGCTTTGCATTTGCTCCTTCATCTCATAAATGCATCAGAAGGATGATCACTTTTTCGGGGGGGGTGAATAAAACTAGTTTCTTGTACAGTATGGGCTCTATGTTCTGAATTTGTTTATACAACTGCAGTTTTCCCTTATTTATCATCAAAGCCTTAAAGAAAAAGACCTCTGATTATGTTCTAAAGGATTTAACAGTTTGAGTTCTCAGCTGTCTATCATCAGATCTGCCTGCTGGCTGACATTTTTCTATATACGTCTGTCCACATACTTGAAGTGTGCCTGTTGAATAATTACGGCTCTCCAATGTGTCCTTTATTATAAAGGAACTTAGAATGCCAAGCTGTCTCCGAGTATTACGGCGCGCGCTCAGACGGAGACTTTTATACGAGCTGCTCTGTCTCTCCGAAGACACTTCATTCATCTTACTGAGGAGCGTGTCAACACCGTTTGTAATAGTCCATTTAAAGGGCATCAGCCTGCCTTTGTAGAGCTCTCGAAGTAGCCGCTTTTTCCGTCTTTGAGGAACAGCGAGGGTCGCCTGTTCCAAAGTATGGGATCAGAAAAGAAAAGAAAAAAAGGTCAGGAGGGAAGGTAAATTGTTTCCAGGTGCCCTGCAGTGTTGCAATGCTTGATGCAGTCTCTTGTGGAAAGACGTGGAGGAGTTTCTGTTCAGTTGTGGTTTTACGCAACGCCTTCTGTTCACCTTTTGCTTTTGGAACCCCCTCTTCGACATGTTTAGTGCGATTAAGGCTTATCACATCATTTATCAAGTTGTTAAGCTATGCATGTAATCTGCTCATATTGACATATTTTTGGCATTTCAATTGATATCATACATGTCGTTTTGGATTGAGATTAATAGCGTTCTTCCTGTGTTTTTTAACAAGGCGCTGGATGCCGCTAATGAAGTGGGCGACCTGCTGCAGCTGAAGTACTCCAGACGTGAGCAGCCTCGTCCCTCGCTTGGATGGATGTCCGAAGAAAACCTGTTTGATTGAGCCACATCCTCTCGCTTCCCTCCGCCCAACTTTACTGTCCCTCCCTCCCTTCATATTTTCTTGCCTGATATCACTGATCTTCCTCTGAGCCAGTCTCTCAACCTCTACTGGGCCATATCACCTCACATCCCACTCCAATGGACTCGCCAGAACCTAAGTCTCAATAGGTCGCTTAAAAACATGCACAGTAGCATCACTCGTTAGCATGCGTGCAGTCTGTGAACTGTATGTCCCTCCTAACTTATTTTTGACCACAACGTCAAGCCTTATAACTGTGTGCACATTGAATGTGTCTGATTTGTGCAATAATAACTAGGAATGTATTTGTAATCAAACAAGTACATCGATATATGTCACGAGTTCATACTCGTGCACTTGGAAGAAGAAAAAACTAATCATAGCTAATACTACGATGAACACAAGAGGAAAAAATATATATGTGTAAATATTATTTATCCACATTTTGGCAATGCTGCCTTAGGGTGGCATCCCAGACCTCAAAGAGATATACAAAATAATGAAGGAGTACATTAGCACATGTACTCCATATGTATTTATCTAAAAGGCTTTTTTTTCTACTTTTACTTGAAGAGAATAGAATATCGGGGTTCTTTCCCTAACCAAAGGATGTATATGTATAGATATGTTTCGTACCTTTTTCTCTTAGAAATGCAATGCAGATGTCCAACAAGAAAACATTTAACAGGGAAAGAATCCCAGGGGAGCAGGAGTAAGGATCATTTTTACTGCTTATTTCCTAAAAATATTTGTAAGCCTTATTTACTGTTTACACCTGCACTCAAAAGCCCATTGTCTTTAACATTTCTGTAAGCTAATTAGCTACACGTGTGATTTATTTAAAAAAATCCTTCTCACTGAAGTGCTTTCATGTGAATCGGCGCAGAGCACATTGCCTCGCTGTGACTTAGATCTGTATGTATGACGACGATGCAGCCATGCCCGTCTGACTTATAGATCGCTTTATTTATTTTGAAATGTCTTAATCATCTTATTTTTGTGAAGAAAAAAAAGGTTTTTATCCGGAAGGCAGCTCCAAATGTGTCTTAGTGTGCGTTTAAACTGATACGTCTTAGCTTCGGTGCCAGCACTACTGATAGGCATTGTGAATGCACAGATGAAGTAGTCACTGGAAGATTTGTACGACTATGCTTCAAATGTCATTGTTTTTGCTTCGTCTTCTGGAATGACGTTCCATATCAACCTGCTTTTATTGTCAAGTGTTTTAAGTTTTTGTCTGACTTTTCTTGTGTGAGGTCACCCCAAACATGGCGCACATGCCACTGTTCATGTGCGTTTTTTATGTTCTACCACTAAATTGATGTGAATTGGAGTGAAGCCAGTCAGAAAGCTGGTCATCGTCTGGCTATGTGACCATTCCTACATATGTTCATCAAAGTGATAAAACTCTAATCAAGTTTAAACAAGCTTGAGTTGATGTTTTGTGGCATTTTAGCACAGCATGCTAACTGTTTGGGGTTTATTTTTTACTGTAAATTCAATTCATTCCAAAATTGCTGTTGTTTTTTTCCCACAGACAATGTCTTGAAATAATGACTCTGTGATGCTTTTAATAAATATAATATAAAAGGTGGAACACATGACTATGATCTGGAATTGCACTCTTCAGAAGTATGCTCTGACATAATAAAAAAGATCGTCAAAGTTTCCTCAAGCTGTCTGAAGCACTATGCAGCATGTTAAGTCTCTACATTTCTGCCTATGGAGGCAAAATTGTAATTGCAACCAGCAACGTGACTGTTTCTCTCAGCCAGGTTTCCCTCATTGAAACTGAGGAATTAAACTCGAGAGAGTTTATAAAAATGTTTGGAACTCTTTGATGTAATATTTCCCGCCTGCCTACCACAAATACCTGCGAACTGACCTGCAGTGACCGCTGGAAACATGCTTATCAGTTGCTTTTGACCTTGGAATTGTATATGGGTTGAAGATAAACCACTTAGAAGAGTTTGCAAAACCATGATGTTTGTTGACCATGCTGTTGGAAACAGGGCTACGAAGATTAAATCACTTTCTTTGTATCAAGTTCTGGAATGGGTTTGTGTTTATTTACAGCATGCACACACACACGGAGTGATGTCACAACTTAAAAGCTTGTGACAAAAAACTGTTTGAAAGCCTATTTGACTGATAAGTCACTGACATCCTGCCATTACCCAGCCTTCCACCTTGGCCAGCCATTCCCTCATGTCTACAAATTGTGTTTTTATAGATAAGAATGCCAATGGGATGGGATGGCTGGTTTTTGAAAATGGCAAAACAAGCCTAGAGAGAATACCATGTAATTTAGGTGATTATAGATTCCAGTAAAATTATGAATCAATGTATATTTCACTTTAAAACTCCCTATAGTAGTATAAGCATTTGATTAAATGTACTTTTTTCCCCACTCCATGCCCTGGAGGTTCAATGTAAACTAAACCTTGTACCTTATCAAGAACCTCAGTGGCCCAGCGCACCCCCTCCACACAGCTGTGAACAATAAGCCTCCCACCCCCATCTCCCTCACCTTCTGAATGCGTGCGTAAAGGCAAGTTTACCGAAACCGGTTGGCTGGGCTGTGCGCACACAAACACATCCACTCGAACCTGCGGATGAACTTCATCTGGATAATGGATTAACGCATCAGACAGATAGCAAAAAACAACGCACAGCAACTCCAGATGTCAATGTATTGGAAGAAAACACCCATCCACCCACCCACGATGGAGTGACTCACAGTTTTAAGTAGTTGAATAAGCGAGCGCCGGTGCGGACGGATAGATTCTGCGTGGGGTATTTCACTTCTTTCTGGTACTTAAAACTCGACCAACTGTGGGTTTTATGGGGAAGGGAAGCGTTGGGCTCGAGCCGCCATACGGACTGACAGTTGCTGCACGAGGCGCTGGTGCCAGATATGGATAGCGAGCGCGATACCTCCGGACGCTGGTGCGCATCTTCATAAAGTGCGACACTTCCACACTGACGAGGCCAAAAACTTCATTTGTCCCGAGTCAAGGTTGCTGACAAACGGAGGCTGAGCAAGAAGAACTTAATTTCTCCCTGCTTTTTAGGGAGGATAGTTTAAGAAAAAGTAGGCTACTTTTGCAAATCTACACAGGAAGCTTTGAAGATGCTTCCAGGGGTCGCGAGGAGATTTCACACGCTGCTCGTGATTTGGTCGATACTTCTCGTGAGTTTGGGGACCGGGTTTCCTACCAGACACAAGAATGTTGCCCACAAAGTGAGTTTCTTTCACATATTCTTTACAACAACAAAAGAAAGCTGCGAAGTATTAAGATCACACCTGCAGCAAAAACAATTTTGACGTCTGATTAACTAGCATGTATATCTTTGCTAACTGTTGTTAAGTGTCCGTACTCATGGTCTGCTTTGTTGCTACACGTAGTAACTGTATTAATGTCAACGTATAGTCTTACTTTAATATGATCATTGACAGTATCATTTAAATATGACAAAACTAAAAACGTGTAGCTTTTATAAGTAAATTGAATGAAAATTGACAAAATTAACGAGGTCATTAGTAGTCTAATGGTTTGACAATTAAACCAGGTGCATTTTGGGAAATTTGAAAAATGATGTTAGCTAGTAATTTCGGTTATTTCCAACTTATGTTCTACATTTAACAAGTAAAGGTAGAATTTCATAGAAAATATTGGAACAAATAGATTGTACAGTTCCCATCAGATGAAGCAATCAATTAACTAAGCTGAAATAACAGAATATCCTCATCAGCGCATTCTGCTCTCTTTTGTTTCACTTCTCTCTCCATGTATAGTAAGGTTTGCCATCACTGGGCATACACGCTGCTATAATAAATCCAAACTCTCTCTACACACACACACAAGCTGTGCAGTGTGTGGTGTGTCTCTGGGAATGTTTGTGTTACACACGGACATATTTGGATATCAAAGCCTGTTTGTGTGTGTTTGTGTCAGGGTTCAGTTTTTGCCTTTGAACTCTCCTTCTTGTGTGGCCTCCCATGGATGCCCTATTGGGACTCTCTCTCTCTCTCTCATCATCTGTCTGATTGATGTCAAAGCAAAAGGAGACAGAGAGGAAAAGAGGGAGGGAAGAAGAGAAGGGAACGATTAGTGAGGAGATGGAAAAAATCTCACTGCGGCTTGTGCGATTGTTCATTTAGTCCGCCAGAAAAAGGCTGCAGTTGGTGACTCTGTGCCTTTCGCCTGTGACCTTCTGGACGCATAAGTGGTGGATGGAGAGGAGAGATTAGCAGAGGAAGGAGGAGGGGAGGCTCAGTAAAGTGGGTGCCCGGTAACGAAATGCTTATGTAACCAGAATAAGGCGAGCCCACGGCATCTATATCACTGGAGCTTGGGTCAAGTGTCATCCATCTGATTGTTTACATTGGCCCTTTTTTGTGTTAATGTGGAATTTCCTGTTTTTGGTTTTACCCCCATCTCTCAGTGAAGAACAAGAGGAAAGGGGGGGGTTTGTGTTGAATTGGCCTCTTTGCTAAATATTGGGACCTGTTTCCCTTTTACCCCCATTTCCCATCCCGACCTTTGCAACCTCACCCTGATTCCACCAGGCATGCATTTGTTGTCCATTTGTGAAAGATGGCGATCAAAGAGTGTCCATAGTTTATTGTTTCTGTGTAATGGTTCGGAAACAGCCAAGTGCAGAGGCCTTTGATATCTGCGGGTGCATAAATCCGGGCTGCCACACGCCCCCCACCCCACCGGATCCTGTCCCTGCCCCTCACCTCAGCCCCTGCTGCCCCCATAGGCGTCACTTTGTTTTGAAAAGTGTTGCGGACACTTTTTACAGACGAAAAAACAACTAGTGTATTGCTTGCAGGGGTGCCCACTGCCCAATATACTCAGGCTTTCTCTTTGTAAGCAACACCTAAAGACAACGCAAGACCTGGTTTCGCTCTTCAATATAACAAACCTGACTCAACAGACAGAGAATGGAACATTTGGACAGGAAGTAACTGTGTCAAGAACTTGGTAAAGTTTCTGAACGACTTATGCTCGTTTTTGGGTTGTTTTAGAACTGGTAGGCTAAGGGGGAAGTCTTTTTAGCATACTCTTTTACTAGAAAAAACTAGAGCAGTGGTAGCAATGTTCAAAGTTTAGTAATATTAAAATGTGTCACATTTTGGAGCCCCAAAAAACAGCCACCAAGTGTGAACAGACAAACTGTTCTCTAGATTCTACATGCTCGCAAATAAACCTCAAAGTTGTGCACGCAACTTTTCAGAAAACTTTTAACAAATTAAAAAGTGTTTGGGACATGTCACGAAGCGTAAATGACGACAATGGCTGCCCCCATCCAGTCTCAGACCTCCTCTCCCTACCCTGAATGTCTGTCACCAAGAGCAGCATTATTCGACAGTTGCCTCAATATGCATCTTTTAAATCTAGTAAGAGGAGGACACAATGCTTTGCTTGATTTGAAGTTCCTATGAGAAGCAGTCTTCAGATCAGGCCGAGGTCCCCCACTGCATCCAGATAGCCTCCCAGTTAAACAAACTGCATGCCATTAGCCAGCGGGCCTTTGATCAGAAGCACCCTGCTACAGAGAGGAGAGCAGGATCAGAGAAAACGCGGGGGAGGTAGAGAGGAGGAGGAGAGTGATATACAGGGCGAAAGAATACAGGATCCAGATGTGTAACAGGACGAGATGAGGAGGGTGTGAAAGTATTTGGCCTCTCTCGTGACTCTGGACCCTCTGTGTCTGTCTACGCGTGTGTGTGGAGGTGTTAGAGCATGTGTGTGAATTTGAAATATTTTCACTGTTGGTCATATGCACCAATAAAAGGCCAGTAAATGAGTCAAATGGACATAATATCGGAGGATTTCCACAATAAAATCGTACACCAGACACCAGACAAGGTGTTACGTAAGAGAAGCAGACGCATGGGGCCCATATTGCTTGCTATGCTATGATAGAGAAAAATGTAGCTCTTTCATAAGTTACATATTTATTTCCCTCCATAGATTGAATATTGCACATTAGCTTGGAGGCATTGAAATCTGGTGCATCTTATACAAATAAATACAAACATTTAAACATACAATTCACAAAGATTTGGGTTTTGAAATTAGCCAGTTATTAGGAGAAACATTTTTTATTTCTATGTTTATGTTAGTTAGCTTACTTTCAGCTGTACTTGCATTATATCCAGTAAACAGTCACCATTTAGATAAACACCAAGAGCTACAATTGTGAAATATATTAAATGTATCTGATATTGTCCCAAATCGTTTTCAAATCTACATAAATAATTCTATTAAATTGTATTGCTACTCGCATTAATCAAGGGTTTAACTTTGCTTTAGAAAGCTTGAGCTATTTTGTTTTCAGCATTGCTCTTTTATTAGTATTTTGAGTTTTCTTGGCAATAACATTTGGTAAATTGTCAACTTACAGTATTTTTAGTGGATACATAGAAAAAAGCTTGATATGCCAATAAGGTTATCTTCTTTTCACCACCAGTTTACACATATCTGGGGAGGGGGCCAACTTCTCTTCATCCATCATTTATCATGCTTGACAGGCTTTTCCTCTAAACAGGCTCTATGTGTTCACATGCTTGAATTTGACCGACCACATAACTTCTTTATGGGACAATCAGAGGCAGCCAGTGAAAAGTACGCCCTGTTCCAGGGGCCAGAAGTATATATCATCAACCATTTGGTCATTCATTTGACATTTCTTCTCCTCTTTAGCCCTCCAACGGCAACTGGTTTGTTCTGAGCAGACCGCAAAATGGCTCAGGTTAAATCTCAAGGTCCGGTTCAACCATTTGTTTGAGCCAATTTAGCATTTTCAGGATGATATAGAAGTGAGTGAATGGCAGACCAGGGGTTCATTAGAGGGGTTCGGATTTTGGTTTTGACCAGGCATGAAATAGATATGTATTCCATTAGACATGAAACAGACACACGCTGGAGACCAACACACGCTGGAGACCAACCAAAAATTCAATTTTGAGTGACCATATTCCAGATACAGTACATATATCTACAATTTCCCACCATTATAATGTCACCAGTAATCTCCATCCATCTCAGGAGATCGACATTTCCTCCCGCTGGGCTCACTAACTGTAAAACCTGGAAGGTCATATAAAGTGGCGTCCGTAGTGGCGGCAGCGCAGCAGGTTCAGACACGCTCGCACCGACCCAGGGGTCCCACGCCTCCCAGGCCCTCTCATTAAAGCTAAAAGAGGATCTCTCTGGCACAGGCCCCTCTTTGTCCACGGCCCGGATGCCATGACTGTTGTGGGAAAAAAAAAAAATGAACGAAAGCCGGTTTGTTGGTCACTTGGCTGATTAGTCGGATGCCTCGGGGGCTTTTTGGAATTGCTGACCAAGCTACAAAGTGGTAGATGGTTTCAAGTTTTCCTCTTGGAAACAGGGCACTAATTGTTCTTATATTCATCAGTGAGTCGCTATAAATGATGGATCCTTTTTTGTCAGTAGCCCCGAAATAGCTACTGGCTTTTAAATGTGTTACAGTTTTTCCCTTTTTATGTTTTGGGTGTTGTTTACTAAAGTCAAAGTAGCAACCGTATACATTTACTTAAAAAGTAACACATCTAATTTAATAATGTAGAGGAGTAAAAAGTACAGTAGTGGCCTCCAAATTGTAGTGGAGTAAAAGTAGCATACATTGGGAAATACTCAAGTAAAGTACCTCAAAATGTAACTTTCCACCACTGGTCAGAATAGATGCAGAAATCAGTCATCATGGCATTACATTTTGTCATGTAACGTCTTCAATAATTTCACTATTTTGTTGTTCTGATCCACATACAATCTTTATCTTTCATTTCCTTGTATTTTCAGGCGCATGGCCACCATATTCACAGTGCCGGGGTCCAATATGTCCCTGAGACTTTGGAGCAGCAGAACCAGGTCCAGAGTATCCTGCCTGAGCCCCATGGCCCCCAGAGGAGGTGGACCCACCCCCACCACCGCTCTGTTGGTGTTCTCCCACAGCCGGAGCCTGAGGAGGAGACCAATCCCTTCATTCTGGATCTCAAGAACTTCCCAGACCTGGCAAATGCTGAAATAAACTCGCAGAACCCAAACATACAGGTGAGTCCGCACGGGGGGTCACACTAAATTGGAGATATGCAGTTTGTGAATTCCTTAGATTGCCTTCGTTATTACATTTAGGGATACATTTCAACCATTCATGCAAGGAGAACATTTTGACTTTCATTGTGCTCAACAAAATCAACAGTGTAATCTTTGCAACCTGCGTTTATTTTAATACAAAACAGGCTCTGTGATAATAAGTGTGAGCCATTAAGTCATCATCATCTCATTCTAAATTGACCCAAAAAGTCGTTCTGTTTAACTTCCATCTCAGGGCAGTTATTCTCTCCGACTCTGGTCAGTGTAATCAGGATGTGGTTAGAGGGACATAATGATGCCGGCCTTATGTCTACATCAAGTACAGAAACCAATGAAATGTCTGATGAGTTTTCATGTAGCCTATAGACCAGATGTACCATATTCTGACGGAAAGATATATTCAACAAAGCATTTCCAATCCTTGCCTAACTGCGAAAGGAATGTCACAAAAGTTACAGAAAGATTTTCCCCTGTAGTCTCTGCATTGCCTGGTCTTCACATCAGCTGAAGTGGGCCCTTGGAAGTACTGTAGCATCTAGGATGAGTCATATTGAGGTAATGAGAGGTAGTTATCCAGAAGAAATGCTCACATTCTCTCCCTGAGAGGATGGTTTGATGGCTGAATGCTCATGCTCAAGTCTCGCTGGCTGGGAAGCGAGTTCACTTGCTGAGAAATGTATCCGCTGATTTGAGTTAGTTGATTTCTTAAGAAGAGCTTGTAACTGAAGCAGTAAAGCTGCACTCAAGTAGATGTATGACACATTTAAGGAAAATCAGAGTCAACAGAACAATACTGGATAGCTCACTTGTATGTCATTGTCTTACATGGTTAATACGTAGGTTTGGGTTGCTACAATGTTGTTGTCTTGGTTTGATAGTTTTAGAGAGAGTTGTTCACAAACAGGGCTTTGTAAAACAGTGCCACAGATGAATGGTTTACTTTAGCTTAACAGAGGGCCTCTGTTTTCCCATGTAGGTAACCATTGAGGTGGTGGACGACCCCCAGATGGAGGTAGAGATGGATCTGGCCAAGGAAAAAGAATGGCTCCCCTCCTCTTCCTCCTCACCGTCTTCCACGGTGGATTGGCTCGGAGGCAAGAAGCTTTTCTGGCCCCTTTTCTGGAGTTACACTGACGCCGACTCCGGCGAGGAAAGCAACAGCCGCTCAGGGGCGGACGAAAATGGTGAGGAAGAGGAGGAGGAGGGGGATTACTCTCTGGATTACGGAAGCGAGGAGCCCTTACCAAGCGGAGTGGGCGAAGACTGGGATACGCATTGGAACGAAGGCTGGGATCCAATACAGAGCTACTACGGTAAGGTTTGCCAAGTGGTACACTTGCTGGCTGTTAGAACCAGCAGATGTGACTTCCTGTGTTTTTATTAAGTATAAGCAAAAAAGGGATAAGTGTGGAAATACAATTGCTGATGTCTTCATATCAGAAGAGAGACAGAGATAAAGGGAATGTCTGAAAGCAGAGACAAAGAGAGAGAACAACAGAGTGGTTAAGGAGGCTGCATGATAACTATCCTCACAGTCAGAGTACCAAACGATGCCAGCATGCGAGGCAGCATGAGCACCCGACCATCAGGATATTGCGGGTTCTGGGCACTTTGAAGTCGACACTGGTCGTGCCGGTCGCAGAGGCCCGCCTTTTGAAGATGGGTCCGATGCGCTCGCTAATGGCAGCGTGAGGCCGCCACTGTTCCCTGGGACAAAACAGCCCTCTGCTTGTGGACAATTAGAGGGCAGATTTGGAACACAGAATGACAGGGGCCATTCGGCTAGCCCCTTTCATCTTTCCCCGGGACCCCATGGGCCCCCCCCAGACCCTGGCGGCACTCACAGCCCTCTGCGGCTCAGCCTTTTGAGCCAGTTCAAGAATTTCGGGGGGCTCGCAGGGCTGTGCATAACTTTAACAGCTATTTTTCCCCTCTTAATTCCACCATTGTCCGGTGGGAAAACAAGTTGTGTAGAGAGAATTTGTAGTATATAAAGTAAATAATAAGAGGGAAAGAGAAGGGTAAACATATTGATTGAAAGGGAGAGAAGGTGGAAAAGGTAGAGGCAGATATAAATACATATATATATATATATATATATATATATATATATATATATATATATATATATATATAAAGAATGATATGTGATTATCTGATCTGAGGCTTGGCAGTCTGTAGCCATCTTGTGTTGGTCCGACTGAAGATCAGAGCTCAGTCATGGACTTACCACAGCCGCATTTTTCATTCTTCAGAGATATTTCCCAAAAATACAAATCTGTGCATGATTGATCTTTTTGTTTTTACAAAGTTGTTCTCGATATGTTGGCTAACTCTTTAACTTTTCCCCTTACCCATTTATGCCAATATATAGATTTGATCCCTTTAAGTGTTGTGCATGTAGTCGAGCAAGCAAAGGGCAACAATGCCTATTAAGTGGTCACATCTAAAGACTGAGCGAACATAAATCAAGGATGTCTGCCTTAGCTTCTTCTGTAATTAAGACTCTCCTGAGACCTCATTCCCGTATGGCCACATGGCGAGTTGGCAGCGCCCACAAAGTCAAATTGGGTGCTCGCTACACCCAAGCTGGTATTTCTGCACCCACCTCGCCTTTAATCAAGAATGACTTGTTTTCAGTGTTATTAACACCACAAGGAAACATGGTGCGGAGGCGGACAGCCACAGCACAGCTTCTTTCTCTCTAATTTTACTGAGGCCTTCTTAAAAAGAATATGGGTTTGCATGGGAAAGGTTAGACCAGGAGAAAACATTTCATGTATATGCACTGAGACTTTGAAAGCCTATTCTGAATTAGAAAAAAAAAAACATTCTCAGTTTTTTTCTCAAGTTCATAGTAGTGCAAATACAGTTTGTGACCCTGACTGTTTGGATTTTGTTTTCACAGAGAAGGAAACAGATGAGTGGACTCCCTGGTCTCCCTGTTCAGTGACATGTGGAAACGGTGAGAGGAAAAGGACCAAGTCCTGTGGCTACTCTTGCACCCTGACAGAAGCCTCCAAGTGTGACCTGGAGCCTTGTCCCGGTGAGATTATATTTCCCTTTTAAGATATAAATACTAGAAAGACAGGCCAGAATGTTAAGATTTGTATCCTGCTTTTTCTAATCTACACTCTCCGTTTTTTTAGGTGATGTCAACACTGTAGTAGAGCCATTCCCTTTCGCAATGGAGAATGGCACAGAGCCATTTGGAACAGGTATGTTTTTTGTAATGGACAGCTGGACTTTCATTGGGCTAAAAGAATTACACATTTTAACCTATTAACTGCAAGCTGGTTTTACTGTACACCATTTTACAAAGCATAATCAGCCTGATAAATACTGTAGTTGTAGGTCTATGAAGGTACACCCTTGGCTAATTAAAGGGACATGCCATTTTATATAAGGGATTTTAGAACTTGATTTCTCAATTCTGTCACAGATTATTATGGATGCCAGAATTGAATTTAAACTTGACTACAAATGGCTGCTGTTCATGTTACTAGTAGTGCTATATTGAAGATCTGTAACGCACAAGTTCATGAAGTGTTGCTGTCCTCTTTCTTACAGATGTGGACAGCTGCGAGAAGTGGCTCAACTGTAAGAGTGACTTCCTCCAGAGGTACCTCCACCAGGTGATGTCTGAGCTGCCCAGCTGCCCCTGCACTTACCCCTCTGAAGTGTCTTACACCGTGGTCAGCGTCTACGATGACAATCACGGCCGGCCATTCCGCTGGCGTGATGCCAGTGGCCCCAAGGAGCGCATGGACATCTACAAGCCGTCAGCGCGTAGCTGCATCCGCTCAGCACTTTCAAGCGATTCATCCACTCTAGCAGCGCAGCACTGTTGCTACGGCGATCGTGGACGGCTGATAACACGAGGGAAAGGCGCAGGCACGCCTAACCTGATCAGCACCGAGTTCTCTCCCGAGCTGCACTTCAAGGTGGACGTGCTGCCGTGGATCCTGTGCAAGGGAGACTGGAGTCGCTTCCACGCGGTGCGGCCACCTAACAATGGGTTGAGCTGCCCAGAAAACCCCCACGAAGACGTGTTCATGAATGAACTGGAGGAAGCCAGGGAGTACTGAGGGACCACAGCCAAAACTACCACTTCAGTGTCAGAGGGCCCAATCCTAATTTGAGAGGAGACAGCCTTTTAAAAATTATGAAATATTACACCTAAACCATGCGTTGACTCAGAGGAAATGTGATTTGGAGGTGTGTGGGGTTTAGGTGTGTGTGTGAAGTGTGGTTGTCTCAAGTTAGGATTTGGCACAGTTTCCTGATATCAGGCTCAATGGAACTAAATTACAAGAATTGAAAAAAAAAAGCAGTGTTCTCCCATCGCTTGCCAACCTGTTCCACATCTGGGATACCATCCAGCTCTCTCTTTATATTCACTCTCCTGGGTGCGTGTAAGCATGATGTCCACCTACTGGCTTTGTTTGATAGTGTCCTGGAGCGCTTGTGATTGACAATTCGCAACATGTGGTAAACATCCTGATCATGCTTCTTGTAAGTCTTATGTTAGGGAAATGTATGAATGTGGGTTGGTTATATTGATGAAACAAACACATGCATGGGAAGAGTCCAACAGAATATGAATATCCCGACTATGCTGCTACATTATATAATCCATCAGGTTTTTACAAAGGTATTATGGGGAACAAGACAACAGGACATCAATAAACCCAAGAATTCTCACAGTAATGTACAATGGACACAAAATTATGAGAATACTTTATCTCAAAAGTTTCGTCACACAGATTGATTGATTGATTGATTTATGCGATTTCTCACATTTTCACAGCCGGGAAGATAATATGATCCGGGTGCCAAAGAGTTAAAAAATCAGACTGTTGGTGCCTGCGTAGATCCAGCCTCCTAAGTCTCTACAGTGCAAATGTAGGAAGAAATTAAGTTCTAGAGTGAGTACATGATGCTCATAGATCTCTACGATGTTCTCAGGGGGACTATCAAACCATGATTAACACATCTGTTCATTTACCTCGACAACGGAGCACTATTGGAACTACTGCAAAGTGTATTAGGGTAAAGATTAGTCGCAGAGTATCAGATTTCTAATCCATGCTTTTTGTTCAGTTTCAAAAAGCAGTAAGGAACCTTATAACTGAAAAAGCTGTTAAAGCATTATGTGTGATAGAAGGATGTCATTGCTGCTTAAGATGTGGGCTTAGGGTCTTTGGGTTTATAGACAGAACATGATTGGATAGAAAGGACATTCCTATAGACTTTGAGTAAATACCCTATAAGATATAGTGCAAATGATTGATTATAACAACAGTTTTAGCATTGTAGCTATAATAAAACTCAGCACCTTACTCAAATACTTAGTATAAATATCAAATAAACATAGAAATACCTTAGAGCGCCAGGAATCGCCCATTCTATCCAGTCTCATTCTATGGATGTTCGCTCCAAACCTTTTTTCAGGAATTCTGCTTCAATATGTGATATGCAAACACGCATTTACATTTTGGAATCACCAATTTTAAAGGAAGGCACTTTATTTAAAGTATATATAAATATATACAAAATATATATCAAAATGTACTCGTGTTTGCCATTTGTTGTTGATAGTGTTATTGTGAAGGAAAACTCGCCAGAAATGCTGCATTGTTCTTTGAAAGTGCATATATCAAGTGTTCTGTTGAGGAAAGCATGATTTCTTTTTTGTGATTTCTGAATCTAGTATTACATATATGGTGTTGTACAGTATTTATTTGTCTGTTCTCTCTTTTTTTAAGTTTGCTGAAGCTTTTGAAATGTCTCTTTACTCAACATGGTGCACTAATCTGACTGAGAAATGAAGGCACCCATTATCAAAAGGGAAACCCACTTGCCTCATATCACTTCATACAGCAACATCAAGTGTTTCATTCTACTTTGTACTGCAGTGCTCTATGAATATGTTGTTGCAATTATGCTGAAGAAATATATAAAGACCTTGCATTCATCATCTGACTTTCTAACGTGTCGTTTCTTTTTCCACACTTAAGATACTGTGTAGCCGAGCCAACCATAGCATAGTACTGTCAAGCAAATTCCTAAAGACTCAACTGAGTACTTGTACTCTTTATTTACGGACATACCGAAACTTTCCGTAACTTCCCTCTCCAACAAAACAGGTACAGTGCAGCAAGCATTCCTTCAGAGTGCAAACATGTCACTGCCCTATTTCAGCAACAGGCTGAATATTAAGGACAGCCAATGGGGGATACTGTACCAAGACCACCATAGATGCCATAAACTTCTGTTAAGGATATAAGCAAATAGAGTTTATGTAAAAAATAACACATTTATGGGCTAGATGCTTGTTTGCTCTCTTGCCAACAGTTATGTAAATATTGATACCACTCATGCCTGTACATATTAAGCTACAGGCAACAGACAGTTAGCATAGCTTAGCATAAAGACAGGACACATGGGGAAACTGCTACTTAAAGGTCCCATGATAATTCCATTGTTGAGGTCTACTAGAATAGATTTACATTGGTTTCTCATACAGCATCTCTGTATAGTATGTGTATTCACTCTGTCCTAAACGGCTTGTTGGAGCTCCTGCCCCCCCCTCCCTATGAGCCCACTGTGCTCTGATTGGTCAGCTCGCCCACTCTGTTCTGATGAGTCCACCACCGTTACAGCATAACATCAGTGATTATGTGTTACAATGGCGTTTGTTAGCAACCAGAAAATGACACCAGTAATGACAAACAGATGAGAATGCTGCGTGGGGTCTGGGTGCCGTGTTGGCGGGACGTTGCGGGGCTCGCTGCTCCGCCCTTTGAGGATCGAGGAGCCGACAGTGTGAGCTGTATTACTGGTGTCGTTTCCTGGTTACTGCGTGGGGTCTGTGAGACAGCGAGACACCGCGGAACTCAGCCTGAGCACACACACACACTCACAGCCAGGTTGTTCGCCACACACTCACAGCCTGAGAAAAGATAAGGCTGAGTGAGTGTGTGTGTGTGAGGAGCTCCACAGATTGGTCCATTTGGTCGTCGTTACGTCACTGTGACCAGGAAGAAAAAAATTGAAAAAGAAAAATCTCCAACGAGGCGTTCTGGGTCAGCATAGACAGGTCTTTTCTGTGTTAGAGTTTTACTCGCTACAGGGTGTACTTTGAGGGTTTGTGACTTTGCAAACCGTTTACATGCATACAAAGCTACATAACACACAAGGGGACGGGTAATAACCGGAAAAGCATGTCATGGGACCTTTAAGCATTGCACCAGCTACACAATCTGCAGCTAACCAAATAGCTTGTTAGGGTCATGTGCTTGTTATGGGCACACAATTAGAAGCATTTCCAAGACAAATACTGCTAAGATATGAAAGGCTAGTAGATTTGAATCACTCATCAGCCAGAAAAAGCCATTATGTATTGAGTAGCAGCTAAAAATGTAACTTTCACTAGCAATTCTTTACTCTTGTATTAGAAGCTTTATCTGTATGTTGCAATGGTATAGTTTAGCTAATAGCTAACAGCTGCTAAATGACAGTAGCTTCATACCCAAGAACAACAATGCTAGCATACATCTTATCCAACTCCAGGCAAGACGACAAATAACCATCTCCAAAATGTTTAACCATTCTCTTAATGAAAAACTGTCTAATGTCCTAATATCCCGAAAGGAAAAAGAACCCATACGAAAGTATATTCGCCAAAATGTATTTTAATGTTGAGCTTAACATTTAGCGTCCTGCCTCTGGTGGAGGATGTAATGCTAAATTGTTTAATTATCATCGAGATGCAGGTTGCGAGATAACCTATTCAACATTCAACAGATCCCCAACATGGCAATGAGAGGATTTAATTAGATATCATGCATGAGTTCTCTTGCTAGCACATGTTAGCATCGAGTGCACCAGCAGCATCAAAGGTTCACTAAGTTTACTCTTTTCTTTTCTTTTCAATTTACACACGGCATCTATTGCACGTCTGTCCGTCCTTGGAGAGGGATCCCTCCTCTGTTACTCTCCCTGAGGTTTCTCCCATTTTTCCCCTTTAAACTGTGGGGTTTTTCCTTTTTTGGAAGTTTTTCCTTGTACGATGTGAGGGTCTAAGGACAGAGGGTGTCGTATTGTCATACTGATATTCTGTACAAACTGTGAAGTCCACTGAGACAAATGTAACATTTGTGATATTGGGCTATATAAATAAACATTGATAATAAACTCTGTTTTATCATCTGTGTGTTCTCAATCTGACTTAGTTGAGTTCACCTCAAGAAGTCAAAAGTCGTACTAACATTTTCTGTCGGACTTCTAAACAATCAACCGCAGCTTTTTGATCCATGCATGCTTCAGGATTCACAAAAATGCTGTGGGCATTCTTATGGTAATTCTCCAGGGTGACACCTCTTTTAAAAGTATGACTCTCAATTGTGGTTAGGGCCTAAACTTTTAAAGACCAAGCAAGATCATTAGGAATGAAAATGTTGTCTAGAAAGTCTTTTAAATTAATATTCCAGAAAAGACCAGCTGGAAATCAAAATCATACATAAGGTTTCACTGTATAAAACGAAAATAGTCCTGCGAACGCATAAATAAAAATCTCTTAAGCCCCTGTATGCTGTATATCCACCATCACTATTATCCATCTACATTGCGGTATCTAGGTTTATCCATTTTTCCCATTATGTTTTCCGAGGCTATACTCTTTCCCGAGGATTAAATAACATTGAGATTAAAAGTTCAAAGGTCGGGGTAATGCAAATCCATAGGCTTAGGCAATCCCAATACTCCAGTTAGATACTCTTAATTCCCGTAGGTCATGATGTCTATCCTGCTCTCATTGACCCACAGGAAGGTGGGGGGTCCTGGTTATGTGTTTACAATAGAACACTATGTCAAAATTGGGACACAATTAGCAGAGGATGCATCGACTTTGCGCGTTTAACTACATTCCGCTGTGGAGTGAACGATAAGGGGCTTGGTCGGTCTATTGTGGTCCTTCAGTGACTCCTATGTTGACTACAGATGAGTGCAGCGTGGAGGGAAGCCAGACACATGTTGACCACATTGCTGCTGCAGAATAACAGATAAATAACCGCAGATGTGTAGACAGAGGAGAAAGCAGAGAGAGAAAGCAGAGGAGAGATGAAGAAAGCGGAACATAAAAGAGAGGGGAGTTTTCAAAACGCTGTGGCTAAAAAGATGTTATCTAAAATATTGAATGAAGAAAGGGTTTCCGGGCGGATGCATTTAAAAAACGGACGAATACACTTGACAGTTTATGGAGGGCATGTGTGTCATGTAACAGAGGAAAGGCTACACCGTGGTTATACAGAAGTTTAGGCTTGCCTTTGTATCCCAATTTAGCATTAATTGTTTCCCATTCAAAATGTAAAATGATTGGATTCTCAAATTCTGAATGCAAGCTTTTCACCATGGGACTTACATTTTGGCTATTGAATGTATTCAATGTGATTCATTCCTTTAGTCATAGCGCTGGTGGCCCAGGCCTGGTGCCAGCACTCCGTGGTTACAGATCTGTTTACTTTTGTAAGCTGGCAGGAACATGAGATTTCCTCTGGGTGTACTGCGGCTGGTCGACCTGCAAACAGCATGGCCCTTCATGTCCCTCGATCGCTGCTCCCGTTACAAGCTGCCTCCCTCCTCAGATCATTTGTGCTGAGGGTAACCCCACACTCACAAACATGCACTGAGTCTTACAAGGGTTCAGTGAAGTCTTTAAAACCAGCCATCATGAACACAAACATATTGCAAACAAACCCTTGCACAAGCTTTAGCCACTCAACACGACTTAAAAAATGCCAGTGGATATTAGGATCCTTTGGATTATCTGGAGTTTGATTTATCCCATTCCTTGACCAGCCTGACACAGAGGAAGGCCTTGTTTGGAGATGATCAACAAGGCTAATCCCAAAATGGAGCCTCCCCTTATGAGAAGACAGAAAATCAAAAGCTGTAGAACACAAATACCACTTCAAAAATGTTTAATAAGGGAAATACAGGTGGTTTATTTGTAAGACTTACATTCATGCTAACGCTAGCACGCGCAGAAAGGCAATGGACCCTTTTATAATGCACATTTTCATTTCCGCATAGCCTAAACTAATCTTAGTGAAAACGGTGACATTCATTTACTGGCATTTTCTTTTGCCCAAATGTTGTTAAAATGTGCAATATGTGTATGGAAAACTAGCTAATGTCAACATGCTAGCAGGTATGTTTTACCGCGTTTAACATATATGTGTGTTAGAATGCTAACATGCTAGTTAGCCCTAAAACAAACTACAGCTGCGGTTAACAGCCTGTTTTATAAGTATCATATCATAAGACAAGTTACTCAATATATTAAACATTTTGAGTTGATGATGGCGATATTTTGACATGAATGTCTGTACCAAACTTAAAGGCAACATCATTTTAGACTGGAGCAAAGTAGATGACCAACACTGTCATCATTAGGTAACTAGCATGGCCTACAAATGTAAACTGTGTACGTTACTGTGTTACATTCTTGTGCAGGTACTGTTAATTCTAAAGGGACAATGCCTTCATTTTTGTGTGATGTCTAATCTTTTATTCCACAATACTTTTTATGCTCCTCACGTTTGCAGAGCGAGTACAGGCAAATTGTTTTATCAGGCAAGAACAATATTCAGCCCGATAATCCCAACACTGGACATCAATATCCTCAGAGAAGTCTGAATAACTGACATTCTTATGATGAGCCACACTCTGCGAACTTTTGCTTGTTTACTCATGTCCAGTGGGAGTCTTAATTTTCTCCCCGTCTCTCTCTCTGTTGATAATATAATGAAAAGAGTAGCCAACACAATACCTTTGGACATGAGAGGGGCCTGCAGATCCAGTAGTACTGGTGCGGCAGACAGCCAGCCATAACAACATCAAACACCCCCTAGCCTCCAGCGTTTACACAGAGCCAAGACCCGGACCAAAAATATGATTGTTCGTTCTTTTTAAGATAAGAATGCAG